TGAACGGACAAAAGGGGCTTTCGCACCGCGTAGTTCTAGGAACTTAGTTCTAGGAACTAGCCAGCAGGGTAGTTCCTAGAGAACCAATTTCTCCCTTGGGCCATTACAGGCTGATGTTAATGTTGATGCTTAGCCTAAATAACAAATATTTTATCGGGAGTGTTTATGCTGGGATGTTGTGGAGCTTAGGAGATGTTACAGAACCATTTCATGTAAATTTCTTCGATGTACTGAAAAAGTCTATATAGATTACTTTTATGCGGGCTTTTGCGGGCGGGAGCGGGACAAAACATGAATGTCGCGGGCGGGAGCGGGACCAGATAAGATATATTTCTGCGGGAGCGGGCGAGCGCGGGACAGAATCTTGCGGGAGCGGGACTGAAAAATCCGTCCCGCGCAGGTCTCTAATACGAGGCCACTTCTTTGTTATTGATTATGTTTTTTTTTAGCATTTTATTTTAGATAAGAGATTATTTTAATATATTAGAAATAATTTTTACATTGAAATACTTTTAAGGTTTTCATGAGGCCCCCTAGTGTGTCCCAGTCCACAGGTTGGAAACCAGACCTACTACAAAATCAAGTGAACTATAATAAATGCTTTTGGCTCTTTCTTTTTTTGTTGACCTTTACATTTTGCAAGCGCTTAAGTCTAGCACAAGCTACAAGACTTGCTTGTCACCCTTTTATGTTTTAAGCCACAGATCATCATGGATGCTCACAGTGCACACACTTATGACACACTCGCAAACTCTTTGAAATCTAGCCTAACAGTCAGATGTGTGCATTTGTGCATCTCCAAGCAGCAATGACAAGCAGCCCATAAGATTTCCAGGGGAAAAAAAGCACTAGCTACTGCCCACGTCTGCTCAACCACTGTCTCATCCATATTGTTTGGCTCTTTTTCCCCATTCTGTGCAAATCGCAAGACCTTCCTCCACATTGTTTGCTGAAATGCTGTCAAGAATGGACTTACTATGGGTTAGCATGTGCATGAATTTGTGCCTTGCGAAGGGTGCTGAGTTTGTGTCTTGTAGTACGTGGAGGTCTGTAATGCCTGGAGAAAGCTGTCCGTTAGCATTCATTTCAATGCCAGTTCCTTGGTCTTCTTGGAAGTACGCAATTTGAATTCTGCCATTTTTGCTCGCAGCCACTCAGTTCCGGACACAATTGTTTACAAGTCAATCAGGGGCTAACTGGACCATGCTAACCAGCCAAACCTTGACCCCTTGGTGTGTGCCTATCCTAATTTGTCTTCCAAAACCACCAATATGATGGCTTTAGCCTCTCTTATACCCCCAAAAGCTCTCAAAATCATCCAGATCACAAACTGACCGGTGCATAACATAAGTTGAAAATATTGTTCCCTGGAAGTTTGTCTTTATAACTCATTCAAAGTTATTTCAACATGATGGCTACAATGAAAGGGTCACTTATGTACAATAAAACTGCTTTTTTTTAGGACACTCATATAGTGAACATCATTTTGACACATTTGTCAAAAGTACTACTCAATTCTTTAAGTACTATTCTCATTTCTAAGTGCACCTATTGCAGAGCGAAATAATGTACTCTGGAAACCCATGTTAGCCACTTTGCTGGATTGAGTTACAAGAAAGAGTACTGTTTGCCAGTAAGTTTGAGACTTGTAAAATGAACTGCTTGCCCAAAGAAGTAGGTGGCCAAGCTGTAGTACAGAAAGGCGAGCCAAAAGACACAGCATGAAGCATCTACATAAGTATGTTGAGATTACAGAATTTGAAAAAGATTGTGCTTTATCATGTTAAAGTTGATGTAATCTCTCTTTCTCAAAGTATAACTACCATTGCACAGTACATATGAAAGGATTTACCACAGGTTAGTTCTATATTTGTGTATGTTTGTCCATTTCATTATGCAAACAAATTCTCATGCAAGCATCCTTAAGCAATATATGGCAACCGTACTTACCTGCGCAGAGCACTTGGCGGCACCTCCGGCTTCTCTGATTGGTCGTAGCAGCTAGCCGTTCCGTCAGGTATCCGACCTTCCTCTCTGAACATGGCAGCGGCTGCAGAACTGATAATTCCCACAGCGTCCTGCACACGTGTCTCCAGGGGATAATCCCATGCATCGTATGCCACAGATATCATCCCCATCGGAAAGGCTTCCGGGGTTTGTTCAAGATTTCCTGTCGTCAGACTAGGAACAATCCACACAAAGCCAGCCCCGGTGAGCCCTAGTGAACGGGCTTCCTCCATAACCAACGCTGCTTCGTCTTTGGAGCAGTAGAGGAGGATGACGGGTGACTGGATGCGTTTGAGCTGGACATGGGCACGGTCCTCAGGTTCGCCAACGCCGTCCAGCGTCACTACGCTCTGAAGGTCCCAACGAATGAAGCTGTGGTCCACCGTGACGCGAACGGTGGCTATGAACTCCTGGAAACCTGGAAACTTGGTGGTGACCACCGAGAAGACGTGCCAGTCATACTCCTCCATTATAGCAAGCATCAACAGCGCCTCCTGCTGGAGGGAGGCCCCAAACTGGAAAAACGAAGAACTGGAATCCTGGAAGAAAGAGACAGAGATAGAGAGAGAGCAAGAGGGAGGGAGAGCCAGAAAGAACAGGTGGTGGAAGAGAAAAGGAGAAAAGGAAATATGAGTAGGAGTGAAGACAGAAAAGGAAAGTTAGATAAAGAGATGCGGGGAAATATAAATCATGTGTTGTCACATCCGACTCTGATAGTTTGGTAATTGTACTTCCACCTGCATTCTTGCAAATGGACAGTCGTCAGTTCTGATAAACCAACTAAACTACCTTAGCTGAACTGGAACAATAAAACTTTAACATTTTAAACTGTTTCCTTAGCTTGACATGGTGCCTTTCTGCTAGTGATAGCTTCCATTTTAAATGTACAAAAGTATCTGAGGTGGTAAATAGCGAGGTGATTCTCAGACAGAGTGTTACGGTCCATGAGGAAAAATTATGAGTTGCACGCTATTCAGGTGACTCTCAGAGGATTTCATGTGGCCAACTCAAGTCCAAAGAGACATTTTATAAATGAATGTTACTTCTAATGTTTCACTGATGCTGTTGCAGCATATATTTTTTCCCCCTTTTTACTTCAAACATAATGTAGTTGCAGACACAGCAATGTTTCCATCTTCGCTATTATGTACACTGCATCCAAATCCAAACTCACTTCTGTAATTTATCTTGTTGTGTGTACATTTGGTCATTATACATTCAAGCTCAATTGGCTGGGGTTAGAAATATGCCTGTCTCTGAACAATTTAAAATGGGTTTTAAAACATCCATGGAAAGTATATGGAATAAAAAGTGCTTGAAAGTAATGTGAACATTATTGTTCTCTCTGTGCAATATTATTGTTTACGCTGTCCAATTTTTACTCATAAATGTATGGTTGTTTTTTTTATGCATGACCCGGTTTTTCTCTAATGTTGTTTAATGTGCTATATGTAGTCCTGTTTATATTGCATTTTTGCATATCTTTAATAAACACAACTTTTTGAACTGCTGTTTACACATGTACAGTGGTCTCAAAAAGCATTCGGACACTTACTGTAAGCCACATTTAAAATGTACAAATGTCATTGCATTGGATAACAAAAGTGACATTTATTTGAAAGAAAAATTACACAATCACACTTTGAAGCAAAAACCTACAAATGTTAGGTTTTAAATGATAAAACAACAAATACACTACTGTTCAAAAGTTTGGGGTCAGTAAGATATTTTTTGTTGTTGAAAGTAATTAATTCTTCAAAATTAAACTGATCAAAAAACATTAATAATCTCACATTTCTATTTCAAATAAATGCTGTTGTTTTTAGCTTACTATTCAATCCAAAAATGATCACAATTTCTACAAAAATAAGCAGCACAGCTGTTTCCAACATTGATAATAATAAGAATGTGACACTAAATGGAGTAATGGCTGCTGAAAATTCAGCATTGCTATCACAGGAATAGGTTTAAATTACATTTGAAAATATATTAAAATAGAAAATAGTTGTTTTAGATTCTGGTATTTCACAATATTACGTTTTTTCTGTATCTTTTAAATAAATCCAGCCTTGGTAAAAAAAAAAAAACAGACGGTAGTGTACTTTGATACTTTGTATCTAATGCAAAGATGTTCACAGACTTTTAAGTGTGTCTTTTGGGGGCCACTTTATGTACTCCTGCTTTAAACCATAAAATATCTGCTTTCATCCAGTTGTATAACATGAAATCGTTTTGCTTTGTTTCATCACCCCTGTTTCTGTACCCTACTACTGAAGCCTTCAGCTTTACGAACGTGGAAGTGTGAAAAGGTCTATAGAGGGAACAGGAACGAGCAAGAGAGAAGGGCACGCATCAGGAGCAGACAGTGAGCGCTGAATACAGGAGAGGGAAGAAAGACAGAAATTGCTGCACACTGTCACACTGGAGTCACTGACTGAGTTAAGAATAATGACTGCATCCTTGTGCAGTGACAGCTTGATATCTCAGAATACACAAACACATAAACGAGCAACAATGGAGCTTATGAATATCATGGTTCATGCGCTGTGCAAACACACAGATGCTGATCTGTCCAACACGGTGCTGTGACAGATTTAAAATACTGAGCTTAAACAAACAGTGACACACAAATAAACAGGTAAGGAGGAGGTATTTGCCAAGGATTAGCACCATACTTTGTGCAAAATAAAACAAGGGGCCAAAGGCTATTGAATTTACATGAGGTAAATGTATGCTCCTCAAACTGTACTTCACTGTAACTGAACCTACTGAGAAAATTGAATCTTCAGCTCATAACTGAGTCACAAAGCAATACATCTCCACTGATCCAAAATTGAGCGAGCACCAAACTTCACATAAACCAGTTATGTCACGTTCTAAAAATATATCACACAAACAATTCAGGAGACATTAAAACTGTGTCCTAGATACACTGAGTTAATAAATCAATTCAAATGTAGTGGCTGCACTCGATGTTTTTGGATGGTCCCTTTTGTACTGTGAATGCAGCACTTCAGGGTTAAAGAGGCTCTAGGATGAAACTGGATTAGAGGTATGCACACAGCTCGGGCGCGCTCATGAAGCTCAGGTGCATGCGCGCGCACACACACACACACTCACTCTTGAACACACACACAAATCTCAGGTGTAAATGGATATATGCAAAGGTGCACATACTTATATAGCCATGTGTACATGTACGCACACATACAGTGCATCTAATCAAAAATACCCGCACTTAGACCAGGTTTCGAAAATAAATCATACAGACTCACACATAAGAATCGTTTTTTTTTTTTTTTTGGTCCTTGAGGTGCTGAGAGGTTTTTCCAGTTTGGCAGGAGGTTGATAAGCATGTGAAGAGGGTTAGGATTTAACTGTAGAGCTGGAAGTTTGCAGGTAGATGCACACACACAAACAAACACACAAAAAATGTGTGCGCCTGGAAATTGCTTTAATCAGAGAGGGTATGAGGGTCAGAGCGCGGAAATATATTTCCATTAAAGCACTTCTTCAATCTTGTCACCCATTTGTCCACACATCCTGACCTTGGAGCTGCCATTTTCTTGATAATGCTGCATATGAATGTTGCTTAATGAAAACACTCTTTGACTGCCACTATGAAGATATACAGTATAATCATTGCAATCACTGCAACACTGTCTAATCTTTGTTTTTTATGCTTTCTTTGATTACTTTTTGTTTTCCAGCTTTGGAATGTCATGCAAATTTAAAAATAGAAGAAATGGAAAAATCATATCAATAATTCAACATCCACATGGATCTTTTGAAGTAATCTCAAGTGATATAGACAGAGTCCAGAGATTATCCTGATAATCCACACATACTGACTAGCCCTCAAAAATGTTAAAATGCTCATTCATATTTGCATTTCCAAAATACAGTTTATCAAAGATTATTTGATTTGTTTATGATGGTTGTTAGCATTATGATTCAGAATATGACGCTTGGGAGTTTGCTGTCCTACGGTCATATTATTTTTTTAAATACAGAAACTTAAACACATTAGAGAGTAATGAGCTACTCTGGCACTAAAGACATTTAGAATAAATCTTTCTGAATGTATGTTATATGTCCCAAAGCAATACTATTTTTTTGGTGGAAAATGCCTGCTGTTCTCACTTCATCAAAGTGGGAGAAGTACAGAAAAAGCTCCCTGTTCTGCTATTACTCAGCAGAGACTGGCCAGGGTTTGAACAACTGTCTGACTGACACTCCAGGAGAAAACAAAAACAGGCAACAAAAAAAAAAAGTCTTGAGAAAATCTCAAAAAATATTAATGTTTCCTTCTTTACATTATAATGTTGTTCACTTGTAGAGAATTTAATAATTGATTTTAGTTTTTTTTTTCAGAAAAAATAGCATGGAATTAAAATATAATGTGTCAGCAATAACATGAAAATAATTATAGACTTGTCAATAACTGCCAGAATTTTAATATTGTTGTATAAAAATGCCGCCCTCCATTTTGTGGCACTTACACAACCATTCAAAAGTTTGGGGACAGTATTTTTTTCCTAGGAAATCAATACTTTTGATTAATTAAAAACATCTTTGCGGAATAAACGTAACCTAAAGACATTTAATAATGTTACAAAAGATCTCTACTTTTAATAAATGTTCTTGTTCTTCTTGTTTCTATTCACTAAAGAATCCTGAAAATTTTGTTTCCATAACAGCATAACTGCTTAAATATACTAAAAAGCACAACATTGATAACAAAAAGAAATGTTTCTTGAGCATCAAATCAGCATATTAGAATGATTTATAAAGGATCATATGACACTGAAGACTGGAGTAATAGCTGCTGAAAATTCAGTTTTCCCATAACATTATATTTTAAAATATATTACAATAGAAAATAGCGATTATAGCTATAGTCAGGAATGACCTAATCATTTTAGCTAGCATGATTTTAGAGAGGGTAAAAGACATAGTCCATGATGTTTATTAATTTAGACAGTACTCAGCCAATTATCTCCTCCACTCTAAGTTAGAGCCAATGACAGAACTTGCCTTTTTAGGTTGATCATGTTCAACCCTTTAGCATCCCCTGCTCTGAAGAGCTCTGATGATCACTGAAGAGCACAGTCATGAAGGATAGGAGGACTTGGACCATACTTCCTCCTTGGCACGAAAGTGGTACCTCAGACATTTTGCTAGATGACCTATCTCTGCCATCGCCACTGGATGTTGTTCCGCCATTGACCTCTTAGATCAGATCAAGAAAGGACACTCAGAAAAGATCACCTTTTGTAAGCTGACAGCCCACACCACTAAGCCAGTTCCTGTGAGCCCTGGGCTTCAACCTACCTTCATAAAGATATATTAGAGCCAAGGGATCCATCAGTCAGAAACTGACCCTTGCAAAGTCCAGGTACACATAGGTACATGAAGCCTTTGCAATCAAGTGTACTGTCCTGTTGATAATATCTGTGATAGTAATAGAAAACCAGACTCACCTGAACATGATTTCCTGTGCATGGGGCTGCCCGACAACCCATAACCTTGCCACTTG